AATAAATATAATAATAAGTTATATTAAGAAAATATGATGAAATGATGATCATCTATGAATACATCCTTTAAGAAAGCAATTTTGTGAAACAATATAACTGTATATATTAACATACAGTATACTACATACAAATTTAAATAAAAATATAAACAAAAAATAAATACATTTTCTTATTTTTCACTTAAAGTGACATTAAACCCTCAGATTTTTTAACATAAAACAATACTGTAATGTGCGTCTTACTGTAATCCATGGTAGTTTCCCTTCTCTTTGCTGCTCTTCCTTTTAAATCTGTATCTCTTCTCATGCTGGGCAGAACTTCTGTTTTGCTGCAGACTGCCTTGTCGCAGGAATGGATACACGGTCTGTGTATAGGTTTCTATAGGCTTGTAACCTGAGCCAGCACTATAGGAAGAAGCCCTGAGCTGAAAAGGGAAGTTCTCCCCAAGCATGAGAAGACATGATGATTTAAATGGAAGAGCAGCAAAGAGAAGGGAAACTACCATGGTGTCACGTACCTTAGGGGAGTCTGAGTTGACGAGGGCGACCTCTCTCACAGCTCCGGTCCCGGAGCACCTGGATTGGTTACAGGGGCGTCGGGGCACAGAGGGGCAAGGGTGCCAGAGGCTGGTTAGCCTGTTGCGTCTGCGAGATGAGATGAAAGTGCATAGATCCGGGCAGGAAGCAGGATGCGGATGCACCGCAGAGGATCCAGAAGGCTTTTAGATCCGATGAGCTGAGGAAGCTGGAAGCAGAACACACAAGGCAGAAAGATCGTCGAGCAGGCCAAGGTCATCAACGAGCAAGCAACGCAGTACAAGGGGTGAGGCAGAATCAAGGTCAAAAACAAGCCGGGGTCTTCAGGGAGCAAGCGACAACAGAGAGTAGTCCAAGCCGGGTCAGTAACGGGTAATCAGGATACAGAAAACACAGGAACACAGAACACAGGAAGCTGACGATCTGACAGCATAGGAGGATAGCTGAACACAGCCTTTATAGCCCAGTTGGCGTCAATTGTTCAAATGACACGTCAGCCCGTGCGCACGTGTGCACAAACACGCGCATGGCGTGCACGAACGTGAGCGTGACGCGCACGTACGTGCGCACGTCCTTGCAAAGACGCTGCTTCTATTATGGCTCTATGGTCCACAACAGGCGCCTGCGCATGCGCAGACGGCGACACTCGAACCCTGGCTCTGGCTTTCTGACACATGGATTACAGTAAGGCACACATTACAGTATTGGTTTATGTTAAGAAATCTGAGGGTTTAATGTCACTTTAATGTCTATGACTAGTTAACTTAACCAATTAACCATTAAATCCTTTGATTATTCCCCACAGGGCAGAAGGTATGGGAGAGTTATTTTGGATTCAATTAATTATAAGCACAACAACAACAACAACAACAACAGAACTGTAACAAGAAGCTCAGATGGCAACACGGATTAATCATTCCTCAGAGATTTATAACTAGTATTAGACCCCGTGTTTGTTTTATAACCAAGGGTTTATATAGACAGTTAAATCACAGCGTAGCTTATCATTAGGCCAGAGCACAGGCAAAGCTATGTAACACATACAAAGCCAATCACGGAACTGCATTTAAAAGATTACTCAAACATTTTGTTTGTTTCTTTAAACTTTGAAGGGGATTCAATTGATGACATTCTTGGAAAACATTTCTTGTATTATTTGCTATGGGAGTTGATCTATGGAAGGTAAGTTTGATATGTTGGCATATTATGGGGGAATTGGGGTTGCCACCTGTCCAGGATTCACCCGGACAGTTCAGGTTTTGAATGCTGTTTCAGGCAGATGTCAGGCAGAGAGGGGCAACCACAATTAAGATAGGGGCTACCGACCCCCACTAAAAATAGTATCAACTGTGATATTTACATATGAATGGGCGGCGCTATGTACATATAAATACGCCCCCACTCATTCTCCCCACAAATTTCTGAGCATCGCTTGAGTGTTCGGGTTTTGCTTGAAGAAAAGGTGGCAACCGTAGGGGGAATGTATGCGTTTGTGTAATGAAAAATAACATTCTGAACGGATATATATCATATCTAATATATATAATAATATATGTAATACTAAAATTAGATTCTCTACAAGGTGAATCTGAAAACACACAAATCTAAGCCACAGCAAAATGGGATCTACTAATAACCAATTCACAGGGCCATTAGCCCTAACGAATCTCCTACCGTTCTCCTGGCAACCGCCAAACCCAGACACGTCCATCGGATTGCCAGACAGAGAAGCGTGATTGGTCCCTCCAGAGAACACGTCTCCACTTCTCTAGAGTCCGGTGGCGGCGCGCTTTACACCACGGCATCCCACGCTTTGCATTGCACTTGGTGATGTAAGGCTTGGATGCAGCTGCTCGGCCATGGAAACCCATTATATTATACTAAAAGTAGATTCTGTACAAGGTGAATCTGAAAACACACAGATCTGAACCACAGCAAAATGGGGTCTACTAATAACCAATTCACAAGACCATTTGCCTTACGAATCTTTCTGAATGTTAGCTCTCTGCAAATAGACGCAAAAATAAATGTCCTCAGATATATTTTCTTTTTGAGCTAAGTGTATGCAATGTAGTGCTACGCCAGAATCTGGGCACAATATACAGCCAGTCTACTAGTGCCCCCATTTTATTTTACAAATAAGACTTTATTCACATATTTTACCCAGAGTGCTATGGGTGAGCTACTTTCTGTCTGCATTTGTCCAATTGAAACACTTACGTTTAGGATGCCAAGGAGAATGTCAGTATGAGAGCCTTGCCTGTTAAGATGCAGCGGGGCCATAGGCGCCAAGTATGGATGAGCATGGGTACCGTATGGACTTTATTCAAATATTATACCCAGAGTGCTATGGGTGAGCTACTTTGTGGCAGCATTTGTCTGATGGAAACACTTAAGTTTAGGATGCCAAGGAGAATGTCAAACTCATAGCCAGGTTTGGCGTTACCTTGGCCATCCAAGCACAATGTGTGTTCACACGTGCATGTGACCATGGGAAGCCTGAAAGGTCCCAGATGTAGGATTTGTTCCGCCTTACAAAGAAGTGGTTGTATCTGGAGGTGCCCAAGCCTGCTCAGATTCTAGAGAGAGTAGTTTGCAAGCACTATATGAGAACCTTGCCTGTTAAGATGCAGCGGGGTCGTAGGCTTTGTCTTTCCATACGAGACCCAAGCTCATCCAAGTATAGATGAGCTTGGGACCCGTATTGACTTTATTGAAATATTATACCCAGAGTGCTATGGGTGAGCAATTTTCTGCCAGCATTTGTCTGATTGAAACACTTAAAGTGACATTAAACCCTCAGATTGTTTAACATAAAACAATAGTGTAATGTGCGCCTTACTGTAATCAATGGTAGTTTCCCTTCTCTTTGCTGCTCTTCCTTTTAAATCTGTATCTGTTCTCATGCTGGGGAGAACTTCTGTTTTGCAGCAGACTGCCTCTTCTCTGGAATGGATACATGGTGTCTGTGTGTAAGTTTGCAACCTGAGCCAGCACTACAGGAAGAGGCAGTCAGCTGCAAAAGGAAGTTCTCCCCAAGCATGAGAAGACATGAGGATTTAAAAGGTAGAGCAGCAAAGAGAAAGGAACTACCATGGATTACAGTAAGGTGCACATTACAGTATTGGTTTATGTTAAAAAATCTGAGGGTTTAATGTCACTTTAAGTTTAGGGTGCCAAGGAGAATCTTAAACTCCCAGCCAGGCTGTGCGTTACCTTGGCCATCCAAGCACAATGTGTGCTTGGATGGCCAAGGAAGCCTGAAAGGTCCCTTGTTCCAGTTTGACATGTGTTCACATGAGCATATGACTCTGGGAAGCCTGTGAGGTCCCAAATGTATGATTTGTTCCACCTTATAAAGAAGTGGTTGCATCTGGAGGTGCCCAAGCCGGTTCAGATTCTAGAGAGTGGTCTGTAAGTATGATATTAAGGTGCAGCGGGGCCATAGACTATGCTTTTCCATACGGGACCCAAGGTCATCCAAGTATGGATGAGCTACGGTCAAGTATGGAAAGACATAATGCTACCAAGGACTATCTCCAGGATCTGCCCTCCAAGCAGGTAAACTCCTGGAAACAGGAAAACATTAAACTCAGGCAAGACTATTC